TGTTTCATCCATTTACTGAATTAGTCGAGCATACATATACGCAGAGTTAACCATAGAGTTACACAGCAGATTCTTGTCTGAAGCTGTAGTTGTTGTTGTTTTAGTTTATAGGCGTTTGTCATTCAGAAGTGAATATCTACGCCTCTTCTCTTTATTCCTTTAAAATTAGATTTACTTTTTTTGATATATAGATTTGGGTAAATTGGATTTTTAAAAGCTAAACTTTTGTTTAATGTTGAAGAATTCAGTGGCTGGCGAGCAAAAGGCTTATTGGCTATACAGGACGCCCAATTTCTTCTTCTTCTTGATTTGTTTTTGTTTGGCAATCAGTCACAGTTGACTATTTTTGCCACACACTATTTTATGAATTATTTATATATATACATATATGTACAATTTCAAGTCATAAATGACTATTTTTAGGATTCTTTCTCCTTCCATCCTCTTTCCTTCCTCTTTTTTTCTTTTTAGACTCTATAACTTTTTTTAGAGAGAAAATTCAATAAATTAATAATTTTGGAAAGAGACGACGGCCTAGCAAGTTGTGAATAAAAAACGCCTATAAACTAAAACTAAACGTACGTACTTGTGTTTACGCGCACGTGCGCGTTCAAATATCACCTCACGTATGCACATGTGTACTTCGCACTTACCCCCACCCTTTTCAAAATGCCATCTTACCAGTCTTTGAGGTATATTTCGCAGACTTTCGGTTTTAACCTAGGTCACTCCGGCATAGGTGAGGGGGTGCCAGCTAGCATGTGATGTTGGAGGTGATCACCGAATTGTTAGAAAAGTAAATGGTCAAATTAGTTACAAGTATTGTGGGCTTTATTGGTGCAAGAAAAAGGAAAAGAGAAGATAAGAAGAAAAAAAAAAAAAAAAAAAAAAAAAAAAAAAAAAAAAAAAAAAAAAAACTCAACAACAATTTAATTGTTTGGATACAGCCGCTTTGTTCTTAAAACGAAGCGAACTATTGCTTTTTGTTTAACTATTTCTGAAAGTTTAAGTAGTGTCATGATTTCCTGTGGATGTGATAAATCAGTTTCTACGAGTAACATAGCTCTTTCTATTATGTACTTTGGGCATTCAGTGAGAAAGTGGTTTACAGTTTCAGTACGTCCTATGCAGTTATTGCAATGGCCTGTCGAGTGTATATTCAATCTGAAGAGATCTAAGTTCAAACCTATCACTCCTATTCTTAATCTATGGAGAATACTTTCTTCAAATCTGTTCAACTTACATTCATATGGTTGATTTACTGTAGGCAGTATATGTCTAAGAGATCTATCAGAATTATTCCATCTGTCTTGCCAGAGTTTTATATACTTGCTGGTAATAATACTCTTTATTTCAGAAAAGGATAATTTATTACAAATTTCAATGTTATTTTGTAAAGCAGATTTTGCATAAAAATCTGCCATTTCATTTCCGTGTACACCACAATGGCTAGGAATCCATTCTAAGTGTATGTGTTTTCCTTGATACGATAATTTTGTACTTAATGTAATAATTTCAGTTACAAATGTAATATCTTTTTCATCCTTTATGGCGAGCAGGGCGCTTACGGAATCACAAAAAATAACAATGCCAACATACACATTAATGTTCTCTAGCCAATTAAGCGCAAGGACAATTGCAGCCAATTCGGCTCTGAAAGATGAGGTGTGATCCGCCAATCGTTTGGCTTGTTGAAAGGAGAATGCTGGTACATAAAAAGAAGCAGAACTTATTCCAAAACTTGGAACCTTTGACCCATCTGTATAGATGTGTAGTTGTATTGGCCATTTGGTACTGATCAATTCTAAACTGCGTTGACGTAAATAAGATGGGTTTTCATGTTTGTTCACTATTTCGCTTAATTCTATCGACACTTTTGGAGCATTAATTTTCCAAGGGGGGAAACTAGGTATAGTGTAAGGTTCGATAGTACAATGTTTCATTAGTTCTGTTCTGCATCCAAATGGCTTGTTATTCTTTTGGAGCTTCAAAAGTTCCATTTGCCAGCTGGGCTTAACGTTTAATATGACAGGGTGATCTCGATGCATTTCAATCTTTTGTCTGAATCTGTCCGCCAGCATCTGTCTTCTTAAGTCTAAGGGCATTTCACCTAGTTCAACTTGTAGTGAATCTAATGATGTAAGAGGAAGAGCTCCCGCACAAATTCTCAAGGCTTGATATTGAATGGAGTCAAGTGATTTCTTTATACTTTGAGCCGCACTGTCATAGGCTTCACAACCAAAATCTAATAACGATCTTATCAATGCTCTATATACCATTAGCAGGGATTTCGAGGAGCTTCCCCATGTAGTCCCAGTAAGGCACCTAAGAATGTTCAGTTTCTTTTTACATCTAAGGACTACGGCATCTATGTGCGTCTTCCATGAAAGTCTTTTGTCAAATATAAGTCCTAGGAAATGCTTCTTTGATTGGAATAAAAGTGCGTCGTTGTTTAATTTCAGTTCTGGGTATTTTGCTTTATTGTTTTTAGTAAATAACACTGGAAAGGATTTACTCTGTGAAAGGCGAAAGCCCCATTTAGTAAACCATTCACTCAATGTGTTCAGATAGCACTGTATTCTGTTTGAAATAATTTCTATGTTATTACCTGACATCCAGATGACACAGTCATCAGCATAAATAGATGTGGTGATTAATTCATCTGTTGGAATATCACTCATCATGATATTATACAATATAGGACTTAAGACACTCCCCTGGGGGAGGCTGTTGTACATTTCATATAATTTTGATTCTTCTTTACCAATCTTTACTTGGAAAGTCCGCTCTTTCAGATAGTTATAGAGAAACTCGAGCATATTACCTGTAATACCATGTACTGATAGTTTGTAAATAAGGCCTTTGATACAAAGTCTGTCATATGCCTTTTCAATATCGAGAAAGATTGCTAAAGTATATTCACCAACATTAATGCTTCTTTGGATGGCATTCTCTAAAAGTACAATGTTATCCGTGACCCCACGTTTACTACGAAAGCCAGTCATGAGGGGAGGAAGTATATTGTTCTTTTCTACATACCATTGGAGTCTATTCTTCACAATCCGTTCTAGTATCTTGGCAAAACATGAGGAAAGTGCTATGGGTCGGTACGACGATACCTTTCGGGGGTCTTTATTCTGTTTTAACACAGGTATTAGGATAGAGTGTTTTTGTTGCTATTAGTCTCTTCTCAATGACAATTAGCATTATTTTTAAACGATAGCGTCAATTTACGTGAGCTTTCGTAGATTGCATATAGCAAATCAACAAATTGTTGGGTCACGTAACCCAAAACTTGTAGATTTGGGTGACCTGTTTCACTAGGGCGCAAGATGTGAACGTGATACAGATACGTGACTGTTCTTTGCAAACCAATTCAACTAGTCTAACATTTAATTGATGAGTAACACAGTCATCACATTTGCAAGGTGTATGAATACTTCAGTTGTTAACTGTACTTGTCATTGTATACATACATTTTGATTTAAAATAAAAAAATTATTTTGGCAATCCGTAATTCTTCATTTTGTATGACGTAGAATCTGGTGTGAGCCAGACCCCTTTTGAGGCCACATTCGCTGGATGGGATGATGACAGCTATATCAATGGCGGCTTAGGCAGCTGCAGCAGTTTTACTGTCGAATCCTTAACATCGGGCCCAACCGCAACACCATCTGTGGGCTCAAGTCTTAATCAATATCACCACGGTGACTGCAACGAGCAAGCCGCTGTGTCAACGCCATCTGCTACGACGCAGCCGGCAACGACGCAACCGACTACGACGCAACCGGTAACGACGCAACCGACTACGACGCAACCGGTAACGACGCAGCCGGCAACGACGCAACCGGAAACAACACAACCGGCTACGACGCAACCGGAAACGACGCAACCGACTACGACGCAACCGGTAACGACGCAACCGACCACGACGCAACCGGTAACGACGCAGCCGGCAACGACGCAACCGGAAACAACACAACCGGCTACGACGCAACCGGAAACGACGCAACCGACTACGACGCAACCAGTAACAATGCAACCGACTACGACGCATTCGACAACGACGCAACCTATAACAACTCAATCTGCTACGACATCGCGTGTAAGTATGCTAACAAAGACTCAAATCAACAAAATGATAAATTATCATTGTGACTATAATTTGTTGATTTAGCCTGATTTTCCTTCTGCCATTCAGGAGAACGTGTTTCTTCGTAGGATGGCAATCTACGCAATGTCTTAGTGTGTCGTCTGAGCAAGTACGTGTTCATTTATTACATTCATTAACAAAAGAAAAAAATGTTATAAGATTCACCACCTCCTGATATTTCTTTAGCATTTGCTAAAGCATTAAAAGGCAAAGAAAAAACTTTAAAAACTTATTGCTGCTGCCAACACCAATCGCATATCTATATTTTTCCCGCGAAACTTATAATGTGATTCCTTTGTGAAAATTCAAACTCGGAACTTAACCAAACTTAACCCTAATACTTACCTTAACTCCAGTCCCCGAACTTTAACCCAACCCTGATCCTAATTCACAATTAATTTGTTTTTATTGCAATTATGAAGTGTTCGATAGTTTGTTATATAATACATCTTATGATAAGAAAATAGCCTCAGACGCTATTTGCTTTTTCATCATTTTGTTATAACTCTTCTAACTTATACTCTGTTTGTCAAAGCATTCGCTTGGATCCAGCTGATGCATGTTCCTTGTCATTGTTCAACCCCCCCCCCCCCCTCCCGACAAAGACATCTTTCAATGAATTTTGAAGATTTTTGAAGACTGCCTGACCGGCTGAAAACATAATATCAACAGGATTGGAATGATCATTTCTTTCTTTTTCATGATAAGGGTACTACTGTTGCTGTTGAAGGGCGTTGTGAGACTTTCAAGATTGGAGGTAAGAGCTTCACACGTCGACTTGTATTGTATTTTCCATTTTCTAATAAAATCAATTAGGGGGGGGGGGTAGGGGTATGTTTAGAACATTATGTCACTATTCAGATTCACTTGTTTTCAAGTTTGAACACTTAACAGGTTGTTGTATTGTGTGAAAGAGCAGGAGCGACCTAGCAAGATTATCAAATTTGAAAAATGAAATTGTGCATTCTGGAGCATCCTACAGCCCGCCATGTACAAAATGTATTGTCAAACTGTTGTCTCTTTATGTTTGTTCTTTTAACCACATTTCAGCCACGCTGGAGAACTGCCACCCTCGGGTATCCCTCTGCAGCAACCCTGACTTCAACAGCAGTGCCATTACAGTGGTGAGTGCAACCTTGCGGGTGTCTGAGGCATCACCTGTCGATATCACCCGACTCGCACAAAACATCATCGCTTGCAGCCAGCCTGCATGTGAGGGCGCCCTGTATGAGGTCATTCAAATGTACTCCAGGGTCGAATGCCTGAGCGCAGTGGATGGGCCAGAGACAATTTCCATCGAAATCGAATACACGTGTAAGCATGGATGAATTATGTTACTTTGTCGAGCTTCACGTGGCTTCTCTGCCAATAAGAATGCTATTTGGCAAATAACCTTTGTTTTTTATTTGGTTTTTACGCGCTTGCCGTTCAAACTTGAAGGTTTACGCTATTATGCAATTATAAATTCTTTTGGCCAATCGACATTATGTGGAGTACTTTGTTCATGTACGTGAAATAAATATCGTTGCAATCCTTATAATTTGGTTGATCAAAGAGTATTTCCAAGATATTTAAAAAGACTCATTCGGAAGAAACATTCATGTCGTAAAATAATGTTTGCCTTTTTATACGCATTGTAGAATATGAGCTTCGGGACACATGTATAACCTTTAAAAACGAATGTTATATCAAGCAAACAATTAAATTACCCACCTGCCAATTCCAATAGTCCTCCGGAAATGTTATTTATTGTACAAATGCGAACAATTGCACCTCAGGTATCAACAGACAATTATTGACAGCAGTCCCTGTAATATGAGTTCCGAATATGCCAACTAAATAAATTCATGCCTGCCTATTAAAATGATGCTATAATGTGTCAGTAGTTAAACAAAAACTAAAAAACTTCTGACTCATGTATTACAACAAAAGAAATTTGTGGAGCACATAATGTACGATTGTGTAATTTTACACTGGTTGTTTTCTTTTCTAATGTGTCTTTTTAGATGAATCCTTTACATTTAGTATCCAAACGAACAGCCTTTTCACCATTGATGAAGACGGTCTGCGCAGCGAGCATTGCGATAATCTCTACTACGAATCGAGGCCCAATACGACTTCAAACTCAGTGGAATACCCCTTCAACTGCTCTTTACTTGACGAGTCGGTGAGTTTATCGCGGCTCGTGTCCAGTTTCAGTAGTAACAAAAGAAAATTTGAAATAAACATGTGAGTCTCATGTTATTCTCCTAACTTGTATGAAAAGGTATGTGTAAGAGATCATTTGGTATTTTATTCATTATTGCCGCTGAATTGTGCCGAGTGTAAATATCTGCAAGGAACGCTCGATAACGGATAACTCCCCCATGCATATATTAAGCACCGTTGTATAAAAACATATTTGCAATAATTATACTTAAGCTGAATGTATAACTGAACATATTCTTGAAAGTTCACGATGAGTGTAATTATCTGTAACTCTTTCTCAGTTCACCCCCTCCCTCCTCCCCCTCACCATATCACTGTCTCACTCAATCACTTTTAAGTCTCATTCTTCTCTTCTCCTTGTTGTGCCTTTGCATCGCCAGGGACCCCCTAATTATTTATTTGATCTTCAGGGCCCACAAGGCATCAAGTTTCGCTTATTTTGGAGCTCTGGCCATTTCGGTTTAAAATATCTTGATGTTTATTCGTATAATTTTGTATTCAGAACTGAATAAAAAGAAATGAATTGAAATGAAATGAAAGTGATATGAATTGACATATAGGAAATGTAACTCAAATCACAAACTGAATGTACTTTCTTTTCGGGGAAGGTGTTTATGGTTGATGTTTGTTTCTTAAAAGGCAAATTAATATTCTCCTTCTGCTTAACAGAGATACGGCGAATCATCAAGCGCAAGTACACCAGGATCCACAGTGGAAAAACGAGGTAGGAAACTGTAAATTTGTTCGATTCATTTCATCGAAAAATAATACAATTTCTTGATAATACCACTGACCAATCTATCTTTTGACATCGCGAGAATCGGTCAATTTTTAATTCAAGAGGGCTATCAATGTTTATTTATTTCTGATTGTAAGTATATGTTACAGGTTTGGTCGCCCATATAGGTTCCTTTCCTGAGGTCGTCATCAAATTCAAGGTGGTCTCCTGCATATTTCAATTTTTAAATGATATGCCAACCATGTGTTTTTGAAAGGGTATCATTATTTAATTAACTTTATATTATGATATGATTAGATATATATTTTAACTTTTGTTAATTATATACATGTTTGTTATATTACAAAAATGCAGAAATATAATCAAACGAGCAAATATTAATATAACATTGGAAGGCCGTGAGTGGGATACGTGAATTGCACAAGCTGGTGAGCATATTTCTCGAGTTGGTGCCTAGAGAGAAGGAGTTATGCAATAAATCACATTGCTATATATTTTGCAATGACTTTTCCCAAGTTAGAGAATAATTTCTTTTTTTAAATTACCTAATAGGGTGCCCTCGGATGACAAAGGGCTTCGTTGCAGGAACATCGCTTGGATCTGAATCATGTGGTGCCACATTCATCATCGTATCCGACTCGCTTAATACGGCCGATGGTAAGTGGAATCGTTTCCCAGAGCGGAAGAATGGTTGTCTAGTGGTTAAACGTCTGAATCGTGAATCGCAAGGTTCGGGGTTCGAATCTCTGTCGCAGCTCTAACGTCATTAGCCAGGGCTTTAATCTATATTTACCTCTATTTTACTATTGCTGCGGTAAAAATAATTGCAAGGGCCTCAGGGTAAAGAACAATTTGTCTTCTCACGAGGCTTCACGGGGTACACAACATGACTACTACTACTACTATAACTACTAAAATTATTTAGAAAATCATTATTATCATTGTTGTTATCATCAATATATGTATTATAATAACCAAGGAAGGTACAAAGGCACACAGTGGGAAATAGTTGTTTCAGTAAGGTATTGCTGTTGAAAAAGACCTTATCAAATATCGCGTAGACATATTTGTGTTTGACACATAATTATTGATTATTCATACAAAATTTTGAATTGCCCTGATTGCAATTATAATAATGCAATGGGCGCCGGTAGGATGCATTTATACGGCCATTCCATTCAGATTTGGTAATCATTATGCTGCTGTAGCTTCAACTTGATGAAATGTCTACGACAACACAAATCGAAAAATAGGGCACTGACGTGCAATGTGCCCCGTGCTGTGTTTATGTCATCAAAGCATTAAAATCTCATGATGTTCGTTTATTAATTGTTCTTTCCAGTCAGCCATGTTAGTTTAAGAGGAGCAATAGGAGTTGGTGTCCAAAATGAAATCGAGGCACATGTAGAAAATGAATACTAGGACAAACGCACGACCCCCCCCCCCGAAAAAAATAAATAAATTATTCTTCAAGAAACGCTCGTGGTTTTCCTGGAACCACAAACATTCTTAATTGGTCATATTAAGAGACGTTTTCATTCTAGAATAAAATGGAATGGGACAAAATGCTCACTAGTTGTTTATATTATGAGCAATGATACTTCTGATTAATGTATTTCCTCTCCCACCATATCAATCAGGGAAAAACATCAACTTCCTTGAGATGACAAGAGGTAGAGGTGTCGTAATCGACTGGTTTACGCACATGACTTAAAATGCAAAGATTGTGGGTTCGAACCTCGACACGGCACTAATGTCCTTTCGCAAGGCATTAATCTATATTTGCCACACCATACTCAGGCGAGAAATTGGGGTCTGGTAATTGCCATATGCCTTAACGGTGACTATATGATGGGAAAACTCCCCAGGGGGTAGAGGTGGTGCAAATTGTGCGTGAATGAATCTGATGACCGGGTTAATAATATCTATTAAACGCTTAGAGACGGTATTTCGTATCAACTGCTATATACATCCAGATTATTATAATAATGACATAGTGTCATTGCCCCGGGTAGCCTAATCAGTAATAATATTATATTGCTTTAGCCTGGCAACCGTAAGAAGGCGTTCAAGCAAGGAAGGATTTTTCTTCTACCGGGTACACATTTACTTCACATAGGTTGGATGGAGAGAGGCAAATTAATTGCCACAAGGCATTAATATCTTAATGGCAGGGATTCGAACCCGACACCATGCGATTCATAGTACGATGCGTTAGAACATGACACACTGAATGCCGGTTGATTTTATACATTCTAGCCGAACATAAATTATTTTAAGATGATTGGTACACTTTAATGATGGCGGTGGTTATACGTCAAATTTTTGTTTTCCCATTCCCATTTCAGCGCAAGTAAATTTCGAATCAATGGACCAAAACGACGTTGTTGGCGGGGCCACCAACGTCCTGCAAAACGATATCGACTCCTCAGACAACCAACTACACGTCATCAGCTTGGTGATGATCATCGACATCGAGAATGGCAATACAAGCATTGATCTCAATGGCTCCGTGATCATTGACTTCGCCGTGGATCTAACGGTGAGTTGACATTCGACGTAGTCTTAAATAGGAGGTTCAGTTGTAGTCAGGTAAAATACAAATTGGAATTTTGGTTTCCTTGCTACATGTTTACATGTTGCCTGTTTGTGAACTCCCATACAAGCCTGCGTATTACTATATGTTATGCTCTTCACTCTGTATGACTTTCTCAAAGATTTATTGAGTCAATGTTTCATCATTTTCATTAATGCTCAAAGTCAAGGTACATGTAATGTTAATTCTTCTTTACCAGATATTCAAGCTTTCCCAAAGATGACTGGAAAGCTTTATTCCCAAAACAATTGCATGGCCAATACTCAACGTTATCTTCTGATTATGTTGACGGATTTTACTAGAAATCTCAAACTTCCAACTGCCTTTTGATAAGGGCAATACATGAGCCGCTCTTCCGTTTTCAGTGAAATCCCATGACATTCGAGAACTGTTTTGTGTCTGCCCTTTTACATTTGATTCACGACTGAAAGTGTAGCCCAAATGTGTTCTTCGCCGCAAAACGCCTGTGCAACTACTACTTCACGCCTTAATTCACTAAGAACTAAATGAACAATTTGTGCAAATACCCTTTTAAATCAAAATTACAAAAAACCTTTGAAGTAGGCATCACTTTGCCCGTTATATCTTAATTTTTATGTAGAATTTACCTTTTCAATTCTGTGCTATAATTACATTTCCATGAATTTTGTTTCTATTTTAGGCCGAAACAAATGCCATTCATTGTGCGTTTATCGCTAACGAAAGGTAAGTCCAATGCTTTTACGATGTTGTATTTTCCCCGGGAAATCACCGTCTAGAGGAGTTGTAGTACCCCCATACGTAACCCTACACCCCGACAATTCCCCCAACCTAAAAACCACCCCTTGACCGGGGGGGGGGGGCTTCAGCTCTTCATGGCAGTGACATACATTAACTGTTAGAGGAATGCTTCTTATTTTGAGCTTTCAAACTAATCATATGAACACTGGACTCCTCTCTTTCAATAATAACCGTTTATTATAAAAACACTACACATACCAGTCACAACGTAACCGATTAAAACGCTGACAATAGATAACCCCGGCCCTGGGTTCTGTTATGATTCTATCCGTTACAGTTCACATTCTCCACTCCCTTGGACGGAATTCCAGCCAGTCGCCCTTTTTTTGGAAAACCTCTTTGCAAAAGTTTACTAAATTGACAATTTTCCAGATTTTCGAGATTTGTGATTACATTCTCAATCAACTATCACTGAAAAGGTCACGTCCTTGTTTATCCTCGTTTTCATTATGAAAAAACACATAATCCATCAACATTCATTACGCACTCAATTACATGAGGCGCTGGTGCTGAGATTTGTTCGATCGAGCGCTCAATAATACAGCGCGTTGATTGGCTTTCATACAGTAGATTAAAGCCAATATTAAGGAGGCAAAGTCGAAGTACACGAGCATGGATGATTCATTGTTCTCTACATCCAGATTCATCTACACGCAGAACAACTCGGATTCAGTTGTGCTTGAGTTACAAAGATATACAATGTGGCCCCCAAAAGAATGCACATGAGATCTACAATTTCAACGTTATCATGGACACAATGTCTTTGGTTCTTCTTTTATTGGGTAGAAAAGCCTTTTTCAACTTGATGACACCAAGATTATTTTGGGTAATGCAAAATTCTGGTTATGTACAAATTTCTCACTGCTTGAGCAAAGTAATAGTTATGCTTCTGATCCCGATGCAAACAATATTACGGATTCCATTTAATTTTTGTATTGCATTTGATCATTTAATTGATACATTGTATACAGTTCTGGAGTCTGGTCAAATATTGGTATGGAAGTGGTATTTGCAAACTCGTCCCTGGTACAATGCCGCAGTACTCATCTCACTAGCTTTGCCGTTCTCTTATCGGCCAAGGTAAGTATAACCCCGCCCCTTCTCGCCCGCTCGCTCTTTCTAGTGTATTCTATCTCAAACACTCTCTCTAAGTCTCCATCTCTCTGTTTATAGCTCTTTTTTCAATAAATAATCTTTCTTTATCCCTTTCTCTCTCTGTCTCCCCGCCCTCGCTTTCCCCATCTCTCTCTCTCTTTCCATGTTTCTCGCCTCTTTGCAAGGCTGTCGACTCTCGCCGAATACCAAATGTGAAGTTTCTTCAGTTTAGTGACCGAGTGCAACAAGTACGACGCGAGCCATTTATTTCTTCAGTTTGATACAAACAAATTAAGTTATCAAGACACAAGTGTGACCCATACCGTACAAGATAAGCAATTCCACATCTAAGATAGACCACAGTTTCACACTGTCGACATTAGGTTTATAAAAATAGCGCAATGCCACAAATTATCAAACTGTTGAACTCTAATGCTGAAAACCTGAACTTGGAGTTTTAGAACACACAAAATAGTGAATTGAAGATGAATGTTGCCTGTAAATGTGGAAACGTATTTTTTCTTTTGCCTCAAAATTACTTTTTTGTTAATCAATTCCTTTGAAGTGGATTCCCACTAACTAGGATGAAATAACTTTTTTCAATTACATTTTTAATATACCAGCTCTGTGTTCGTGTTCATCTCTCTCTTTGTTCTTCTTTCACCATCTCTCTCACTCTCTCCCTCTCTCTCTTTCTCTCTCCACTCCCTCTCCCTCACTCTCCCTTCCCTTCTCTTCTCCCCTTCTCTCTCCACTTTCTCCCCCTCAACTTTCCTTTCCTTTTCTCCTTATTTTCCTGCTCCACATTTCTTCCTTTTCTGAGTTTTACTGAGTTTTTTCGTCGAATTATTGTCAAATAATGAATTGTAAATATGATGTTTTTTTTAAAATATATTTAAACCAAATATCCGTAAATCATGCATGCAATTCAGCTGTTAGTTGTGAGATGTTGATGAATAAATATCTTACTTTACCCTTACCTTATAAAATGATCCAACATCAATCCAAAAATGGTTTTCCAGCTTGAAACTTCACTTCAAGATCCACAATTCATTGAAGTTTGGAGCTTGTCCAATTCAGGTCTGCAGCTTTAAATGGTCTTGTGATTAGTCAAGGAGACGTGAAATGGTCGGAAATGAAAGCCAGGTTTTCCGTGATAGTCAAGGAGACAATTCCACGATCTTGCGAAGCAAATACCGAATGTTAAGTGAATGTACGTAGCACAAGACCTGGACATAAATCAGCGGCTGTAACGAACAATAGCACGAAAATGTTCATTGCATTATGCACCTGTGGAAAAATCTGGTCATCAATGGCATGCCTGTTCGTAGATTCATTGCTTGAAATCTCAATTAGCACTCGCCCCATTTAACTTTAAACAAATCAATTTAAAACAAAGCGAAAACATTTAGTTTTAATTATCTAATCGAATTTCTTTGTTATGATGATAACATTCCCATGAAATATTGTACCTATATCTCATCATCGTTGTTTTTCTTGTTGTTATCATTATTATAATTATTTTTTTTATCATTCTTCTTCTTCTTCTATTTCTTATCATTATTTATTTCATCATCATTATTATTTGTCAGTATCATTGTTATTATTATCATTATTAATATATTTATTTGTTATAATTATCATTATCATTATCATTGTTATTATTATCATGACGTATAAAATTGTGTTATGTGTTCGTCCTTGCAGCCTCCTCAAGGGATACACGCAGTCATACAGAGTTATCTGTCTAGAGTCATGGGGGCGCTGTCCGTTTTGTCCCTCACGGTGGCCATTTGTATTTACTTTGCCACTGGGTAAGTATAAACCAGGGCATCGTTTCAAGTACAGGTGTGCCGAACTCCAGTTGAAACGTGTGTATTTACTGGACGGGTTCTATTGGATGTCGATGAACTTGAGCTTACGACGGTTTTGTGAAATTTTGCCTTTTCTCCTAAATTTAGAAAAATCATTTTTTGATACGATATTAGGCCCTGCGACAATTGCTCCGGGTATTATTCCGTCCAAAGTATAAGGTTAGGGTCATTTTCTAGTTATCTTACAATTTATCTTATCCAATGTAAAGTTAAATTTGAGATAAGTTGAAAGGGGTAAAAATTGGACCAGGAATGACGGAAGTTGGGACGAAATAATAATTACCACCAACTAGTTAAGATAATAATCTAATTGTTATCTGTTTCATACAGCACCTGGAAGCTTCTAAAGATTCAGATCCACATGAACCTAGCCATCTCGACAGCCTTGGGTCAGCTTCTCTTCATGACTATGGCAGAGATGACTTGGAATGTGGTAAGTTACCCGCCCCCCCCCCACTTAGTGTTATTTAGGGGAGGCATATGCGTGTTCCCAGCGACCCCCCCCCCCCCCCCCCCTTTTCAGCAAAATTTCGGTGTGTGAAGTCAACACGGGTAGACCTTTTTCTTTTGTTATACGAGCCTTTTTCAGCATCCCCCTTTTCAGCAAAAGTCCGATGTGTAAAGTCAATACGGGTAAACCTTTTTTTCTCTTGTTACGAGCAGGAGAGTTTGGGAACACGCATGGTATCCCTCCGTTCACGGAGTGGGGGGGGGGGGTAAGTTAGGAGTTATTCTTTAGGCGCTTTGGTATACAAATATTGTAATGAGGGGCACGGTTTAAACTTTTGTCCAAGGTTGTCTCGAGACTGTACTGTGCCTCTAGACGAAGTCGAGGGGTATATTAACTAGTAAGGTATCAAAACAAACAGGAAAGATCACCGAGGAGCTATACTTTACAATATTTTGTTGTAATATGCTCCGCATATCTTGACAATCTTGACATACGTTATTACTTACAATTCCCCAATCATTTGAAAACTAGGTAAATCATGTGGGTAGACGATAACTCCGAGGTGCAAAGGTTTTTTTCTATTTTCTCTATCAATAATATAAAACTTAATCATTGGGTTCATTATCAGAGAAAGGGAATTTAGAATAATATTAGTTTCCTAAATCACCAGTACTGGATCATCATTCATTTGTGGCAATCTTCCATGTCTTAAAGATTATCTGCAAGACCATTTCCGTCACTCCTAATTACTTCTTATATTAGAAATATAAATGTAAAAGCTGGAAGCTGTAAAAAATGGAAAGTATTTATTGCATTGTACTGGTATCCTAATTTGTTACTTATACATGAATGTTTGCCTCCATTTAATGATTGACATTTAATGGATTTCATTGTACTTTTATTCTTGTTACAGATAATTTGCAAGACCATTGCCGTCACTCTCCATTACCTCTTCACCTCCGCTCTCGCTTGGACGATGATAGAGGGCGTATTCCTCTATCGTACAACTGCCGTGGGCTTCAAGCCTCTACATATCGGATGGTTGAGTCTCTTTGCTTGGGGTAGGTATAGCGTATTTAAGTAAAATATACCAAGCAACCCTAAATAGGAATAATTACACATCTAAAAAAAAGCTAATGACATGGAGATGATGAATATATAACTTTCTAGCAGCTTACTCAAATAGGAAAAGAATAACGAGAGATTTTCGAGCAGCCTTTCACCGTACCGCATCAACCCGAAAAAACGGAGAGCGAGAGAAGCTCTTTCTTGTGACATTAATATAGGGAGAGAGCACACACAGAACACACAGACACACTGCAGTGTTTGATGAGATTGTGCTTGAGTACAGTCCCCTGCGCGTCTTTGTTTATATATCGGTTTCCTGAAAATGGTATCAATAACAAACATACTTTTAGGGACTCCAAATATCTTATTCTTCCATACTGACAACCAAACCAACAAAACAATAACAAATATTTAGCGATAAAGAAGAATGCCAATCGTCATCTCGGCTAGCGCTGGAAGTAAAATTTACCAAAAGTAGCATGCTAGATGCTCAGTCCGTTGGGCATGGCCGACGGCAATGACATATTGCCACGATCCGGCGCGATGTTGCTCTCTATGCCAGCCCACCAGCCACGGCGACCGATTGTAGAATAAATGGGGAAATAAAGTATTGAATACACATTTAAAGGTCTACAGTCCATGCCATGTATTTAATTGATATCCATATTTTCCCCAAACTCACCAATTCTCTCTATCATTCGGATCAAGTCTGGTAAAATCTATTCCCGCTCCTTTCACACCAACGGCACCGTCACCCTCTTTCGCCCCGTTTCTCTTGCCTCGGGTTCAGGCTGGTAGGCTTGCGGTAGTGCAGCTGCAGCTCTGCCTCTGCGGCCATCATCACCGTCACCGAGTTCATTCTCTTTTTCAATTTTTTCAAACTGTGCACTCCTCACTCCCCATCGTCGTTTCCCCTATCACTACTAGAACTGTCTTCGATCTCGATGTCGAGGTGCGTTCAGGTTCCGACATTTTGGATGATTTTGTACAAGATTGACCCACCTGACACACTTCGATCTGACCCACTTTTAGTTTCCCATTTTCTACACAAAGGCATTTTCATGGGACAGGTTCTGTGATGGGCTTTTTTGCTATTGAATATTCATGACATGAGCGCGGTCATTTTTTCGTCGCGCGAAAAATCATTTATAAATTTTTGTTCCCCCGCTTAACGCGTTCATCCTGCAAGCCGTTGAAATTGACATGCTTGTAAATGAAACAGTCGGCCGCTTGTAATTTACGCGCTAGTTATTGCAATGACGACCCTTCGTCATTGCCTTGTTTTCGTTCACATTCTTCTTATTAATATTCTTAGTTCTTCTTGTCGTCCGGAATCCCATTCATTTTGCACGTAGTGCTTGTTATTCCTAGTTAGGTGCTTTCCTCATGTCCTTTTCCTTTCAAATTTCATAGGCATAGTCTCTAACATCTTATCAAGGTCACTACATTTTTCGATTCTCGAAATCACTCATGCATAACCGTCCAGGCGCCATTTTGTCCGTGTCTGGTCCATTTTAAGGCCTTTCTTTCTTCCTTCCTATCTCAACTATCCTAGATCCTACAACCTTCTAACAAATTCCTCTAGATAGTCTAAGAGATGTTCTTTCATCTGCGACGTGTAACCTGACCTTCAAAATGCCATCTTCGTACTCAAAATTCAAATCTGAAACCGACTCCATCAAAAATCTCTCAAATTCTCGAAAATTTGACCCCTAAATAATCTAAAACTGCCATAACTTTCTCATATAAATTTCGTTTTGTTTTTAAATCTCACAGTATCTTTATCTCATAATTGCACATAGCCATGCCAAATTTCACGCTCCAATGGCTATGCAAAACATAAATAGCGCCCTCTAAAGTTCTGGGAATTGGCTTTCTCTCTGTGGCCGTATCTCCATAATGGCTTGGCAAACCCGTACCCTTTTTTGGATTTAGATACTTGAAGATATGCCCTTTCCAGCCATATACAAAATTATATACCCTATAACTGACCAAATATGAGAAAATTGCCCTCCAAATTCGCCATTTTCAAGAAAATTGAGAAATAACTTCAGCTTGCTCTAAACCGGCGATCTTTATACCTACATCAATGAAACTTGGCAGACACATGTATCCATATACGTGACAACTGTCTGCTAAGTTTGGTAAATTGTAATGCCCTATTCGCCAAGTTATCGCCAAAAATGATGAATTTACTATGCTTTACGTATTAGCGCGTTTGATGCGTGCAGTACGTTTTGCGCAGATGACAATGGTGTCAAACTGACCGCACTGAAGTGCCCTTTCGAATGATACCAAGTATGGTATATGTTCACGCACAAAATTGTGAGTAAATCACATTTGAACAAGTACGAATTCCGCCGAGTTTCCATGACGTCATTTGTTAAGACTGCTATTCGGTTGTGTTAGTATGGGCGGCCGTTCGTGCCAAAGCACGCGTCGTAACATGTTCATCATGCACCAAGTCATATTGGTTTTGCACGCAGTGCTTGCGAGCCCTTTCTAGATCCCTTCCTCTACTCCAATTCCCTTCAAAATTCGTAGGCGTAGTCTCTAGCATTCCTTCAAGGTCACTAAATTCTTCGTTCTCCGGAAACCCTCATGCGTGACCGTCCAGACACCAATGTTTCCGTTTCGGGCCGTTTTGGTGACCTTTCTTTCGCCCTAACTATCTCCACTATCACAGAAGCTACAGACTTCTTTCATATTGCTCTGGATAGTCCGAGAGTAGCTCCTTCGTTTGACACGTAGAAACACGGCGTCATTGCACGCACATCGTTGTGACACGATTGCATTTCTAGTCTTCCTCTTCTTCTTCTTGTCGTCCGGAATCCCATTCGTTTTGCACGTAGTGTTTGTTATTCCTAGTTAGGTGCTTTCCTCATGTCCTTTTCCTTTCAAATTTCATAGGCATAGTCTCTAACATCTCATCAAGGTCACTACATTCTTCGATTGTCGAAATCGCTCATGCATAACCATCCAGGCGCCATTTTGTCCGTTTCTGGTCCATTTTAAGGCCTTTCTTTCTTCCTTCCTATCTCCACTATCCTAGATCCTACAAACTTTTAACAAATTCATCTAAATAGTCTAAGAGATGTTCTTTAATCTGCGACGTATAACCTGCCCTTCAAAATGCCATCTTCGTACTCAAAATTCAAATCTGAAACCGACTCCGTCAAAAATCTCTCAAATTCTTGAAAAATTGACCCCTAAATAATCTAAAACTGCCTTAACTTTCTCATATAAATTCACCTTTGTATATAAATCTTACAGTATCTTTATCTCATAATTGCACATAGCCATGCAAAATTTCACGCTCCAATGGCTTTGCAAAAACATAAATAGCGCCCTCTAAAGTTCTGGGAATTGGCTTTCTTTCTGTGGCCGTATCTCCATTATGGCTTACAAACCCGTACCCTTTTTTGGATTTAGATACTTGAAGATATGCCCTTTCCAGCCATATACAAAATTATATACCCTATCACTGACCAACTTTGAGAAAAATGCCCTCTAAATTCGCCATTTTCAAGAAAATTCCAAAATAACTTCAACTTGCTCTAAAATGGCGATCTTTGTACCTACATCAATAAAACTTGGTAGACATATGTATCCATGTACGTGACAACTATTTGCAAAGTTTAGTAAAATTTAAATATGTCAGCGCAAAGTTATCGCCAAAAATGATGAATTTACTATGCATTACGTAATAGCGCGTTTAATGCGTGCAATACATTGCACGGAGATAACAATGGTTTTAAACTAACCGCAATGAAGTGCCCTTTCGAATGATACCAAGTATGGTATATGTTCACACAGAAAATTGTAAGTAAATCACATTTGAACAAGGGTCACTATACGAATTCCGCCGAGTTTCCGCCCAATTATAACACGTATCGGCTATGACGTCATTTTTAAGACTGTTATTCGGTTGTGTTAGTATGGGCGGCCGTTCGTGCCAAAGCACGCGTCGCAACATGTTCATCATGCAACAAATCCTATTGGTTTTGCACGCAGTGCTTGCGAGCCCTTTCTAGATCCCTTCCTCTACTCCAATTCCCTTCAAAATTCGTAGGCGTAGTCTCTAGCATTCTTTCAAGGTCACTAAATTCTTCGTTCTCCGGAAACCCTCATGCGTGACCGTCAAGGCACCATTTTTTTCGTTTCTGGCCGTTTTGGTGACCTTTCTTTCGCCCTACCTATCTCCACTATCACAGAAGCTACAGACTTCTTACATATTGCTCTGGATATTCCGAGAGTAGCTCCTTCGTTTGACACGTAGAAACATGGCGTCATTGCACGCACATCGTTGTGACACGATTGCATTACTAGTTGCAATGACGAACCTTCGTCATTGCCTTGTTTTCGTTCACATTCTGCCCCATTAATATTCTCCTTAGTATATTCCTTATCGTCCGAAAATCACATTCGTTTTGCACGTAGTGCTTGTTATTCCCAGTTAGGTGCCTTCATCATATCCATTTCCTTCCAAATTTCGTAGGCATCATCTCTAGCATCTCATCAAGGTCACCTACTTTTTCGATTTTCGAAATCACTCATGCATGACCGTCTAGGCGCCATTTTGTCCGTTTCTGGTCCATTTTAAGGCCTTTATATCTTCCTTCCTATCTCCAATATCCTAGATCCTACAAACTTCTAACAAATTCCTCTAGATAGTCTGAGAGATGTTCTTTCATCTGCGACACATAACCTGCCCTTCAAAATGCCATCTTCGTACTCAAAATTCAAATCTGAAACCGACTCCGTCAAAAATCTCTCAAATTCTTGAAAAATTGACCCCTAAATAATCTAAAACTGCCTTAACTTTCTCATATAAATTCACCTTTGTATATAAATCTTACAGTATCTTTATCTCATAATTGCACATAGCCATGCAAAATTTCACGCTCCAATGGCTTTGCAAAAACATAAATAGCGCCCTCTAAAGTTCTGGGAATTGGCTTTCTTTCTGTGGCCGTATCTCCATTATGGCTTACAAACCCGTACCCTTTTTTGGATTTAGATACTTGAAGATATGCCCTTTCCAGCCATATACAAAATTATATACCCTATCACTGACCAACTTTGAGAAAAATGCCCTCTAAATTCGCCATTTTCAAGAAAATTCCAAAATAACTTCAACTTGCTCTAAAATGGCGATCTTTGTACCTACATCAATAAAACTTGGTAGACATATGTATCCATGTACGTGACAACTATTTGCAAAGTTTAGTAAAATTTAAATATGTCAGCGCAAAGTTATCGCCAAAAATGATGAATTTACTATGCATTACGTAATAGCGCGTTTAATGCGTGCAATACATTGCACGGAGATAACAATGGTTTTAAACTAACCGCAATGAAGTGCCCTTTCGAATGATACCAAGTATGGTATATGTTCACACAGAAAATTGTAAGTAAATCACATTTGAACAAGGGTCACTATACGAATTCCGCCGAGTTTCCGCCCAATTATAACACGTATCGGCTATGACGTCATTTTTAAGACTGTTATTCGGTTGTGTTAGTATGGGCGGCCGTTCGTGCCAAAGCACGCGTCGCAACATGTTCATCATGCAACAAATCCTATTGGTTTTGCACGCAGTGCTTGCGAGCCCTTTCTAGATCCCTTCCTCTACTCCAATTCCCTTCAAAATTCGTAGGCGTAGTCTCTAGCATTCTTTCAAGGTCACTAAATTCTTCGTTCTCCGGAAACCCTCATGCGTGACCGTCAAGGCACCATTTTTTTCGTTTCTGGCCGTTTTGGTGACCTTTCTTTCGCCCTACCTATCTCCACTATCACAGAAGCTACAGACTTCTTACATATTGCTCTGGATATTCCGAGAGTAGCTCCTTCGTTTGACACGTAGAAACATGGCGTCATTGCACGCACATCGTTGTGACACGATTGCATTACTAGTTGCAATGACGAACCTTCGTCATTGCCTTGTTTTCGTTCACATTCTGCCCCATTAATATTCTCCTTAGTATATTCCTTATCGTCCGAAAATCACATTCGTTTTGCACGTAGTGCTTGTTATTCCCAGTTAGGTGCCTTCATCATATCCATTTCCTTCCAAATTTCGTAGGCATCATCTCTAGCATCTCATCAAGGTCACCTACTTTTTCGATTTTCAAAATCACTCATGCATGACCGTCTAGGCGCCATTTTGTCCGTTTCTGGTCCATTTTAAGGCCTTTATATCTTCCTTCCTATCTCCAATATCCTAGATCCTACAAACTTCTAACAAATTCCTCTAGATAGTCTGAGAGATGTTCTTTCATCTGCGACACATAACCTGCCCTTCAAAATGCCATCTTCATACTCGAAATTCAAATCTAAAACCGACTCCGTCAAAAATCTCTCAAGTTCTTGAAAAATGGACCCCTAAATAATCTAAAACTGCCATAACTTTCTCATATAAATTCCGTTTTGTATTTAAATCTCACAGTATCTTTATCTTATAATTGCACATACCCATGCCAAATTTCACGCTCCAATGGCTATGCAAAACATAAATAGCGCCCTCTAAAGTTCTGGGAATTGGCTTTCTCTCTGTGGCCGTATCTCCATAATGGCTTGGCAAACCCGTACCCTTTTTTGGATTTAGATACTTGAAGATATGCCCTTTCCAGCCATATACAAAATTATATACCCTATCACTGACCAAATTTGAGAAAATTGCCCTCCAAATTCGCCATTTTCAAGAAAATTCCGAAATAACTTCAACTTGCTCTAAAATGGCGATCGTTATACCTACATCAATTAAACTTGGCAGAAACATGTATTCATATACGTGACAACTGTTCGCTAAGTTTAGTAAAATTCGAATATGTCAGCGCAAAGTTATCGCCCAAAATGATGAATTTACTATGCATTACGTAATAGCGCGTTTAATGCGTGCAATACATTGGGTAGAGATAACAATGGTGTCAAACTGACTGCAATGAAGTGCCCTTTCGCATGATACCAAGTACAGTATATGTTCACACAGAAAATTGTGAGTAAATTGCATTTGAACAAAGGTCACTTTACGAATTCCGCCGAGTTTCCGCCCGAATCTAACACGTATCGGCTATGACGTCATTTTTTCAGACTGCTTTTCGCCCCTTAAACGTCTTTTTTTTTCCTTGAAAATTTGCAGTGACATGCCGAGTTCCAATACGCAGGGCACCTCTTGGCCGGATTTTTGAAATTGGTCAAGGGGGCCATTTAAGACGCCATTTTGTCCTATAAAACTATTTTACATCACGTGTTTCGATAGGATTATCATAGGAAAAAAAAAAGTGGTTTACAATAACAACCATGAAATTCTATTTCTAATGATACCAAATACGGCCCATAAAGAGACTTGAAGAGAGAGAGAAAAAACAATTTAACTCCGGTCATAAAACAGATCCTGTACGTTTTCCGCCCATGCATTACACGCATTGTCTATGGGGCATATCGGGTTCACGCTTTTGGCCCCCAGAACGATCTTCATTGCAATGACGAACATGCACCAAATCCCATTGGTTTTTGCACGCAGTGCTTGCGAGCCCTTTCTAGGTTCTTTCCCCTATCCCAATTTCTTTCAAACTTCGTAGGTATAGTCACTACCATCCCATCAAGGTCACTGTTGAGGCCTTTCTTTCGCCCTACCTATCTCCAATATCACAGAAGCTACAGACTTCGTACATATTGCTCTGGATAGTCCGAGAGAAGCTCTTTCGTTTGACACGTAGAAACATGGCGTCATTGCACGCACATCGTTCAGACACGATTGCATTTCTAGTTTCTTTTGAAATCTTCCGCCGATATCGTGGGAACAATTGTACATCATATTAACGCCCCCCCCCCCCCCCGCCTGGACCCGCCAATGCTAGTGGTTACAAGTAAACTTGATCTATTTCAAAACAAACAAAACGAAATAGACTCTAGGTCAATACAATTATATCATGAGTTTAATTTATTAAAAAAAACTTACAATAGAGCAGGGGCGTATCCTGGAATTACCAAAACGTGTGAGGGGGGGGGGAGGCGCTAGGGCCGGTTTTGCCCTCTGGATCCGTCAATGCTAGAGTTTACAAATAAACTTTGATTGTGCCCCAAGGCATAGTGCACAGTTATACATTACCAGGAGGCCCTAATATTTTGACGTGTCTTAAAACTCTTTTCTAATAATCACAAAACTAACCCTGATTTAAATCGTGATGTATTTTCCCTTTAGGAGGCTCGCTAGTGGTTGTTGGAGTTTCTTTCGGCGTCTTGTATGATGGCTATGGCACTACTAAAGTGTAAGTTTTACTTGTATTTACTTGTCGCTTTATTCTTTAAGTTTTTGCCTTTTTTTGCCCGATTTCGGTTTTCTGTTTTATTCTTGCGGTTTACTCCGATGAATGCAAGAAGAAATGCTTTAGTATGTCTCTTTTAGTTGCTATTCTTTGTAAAATAGCGATCGTGTAGGACAGCATAAGCTACCTTTGAACGAGGCGAAGGAGAAAGAGACAGAGGAAGATAGACACACACACATTCACGCACGCAAACATACAGAAAGATAAACTAGAGATAGAGAAAGAAGGGTGGGGGACAGAGAGTGAGAGACAGAGAGTGGAATACCACATATAACAATTTTGATGAATCCTTATGGTGAAAATCATTCCCTTCTTTATCACCATGAACAATTTTTTCCTTTGCAAGGGAATCCTTCATCTGATAATGGCGACCACCACACTTGATCTAAGGATTTTACATCTTCAATGATGCTTGCATGATTATAATTATAGGATGAGAGCTTGGGTTGCGATTTAAGGGTTAGGTTAAAGGTTTGGGTCCAAGGTTCATGCTCGTATTTCGATTAGGATTGGAATATCTGACACCGATTTTCGCCAAGCTATATTTAGATAATCGTAGTGGCACTAAACAAATGTGTTAATACAAGGAATAAGTTGAAACCATAACAAAAACTGTATTCAATTATTTTGTACGTTCACAGTTGCTGGCTTCGTCACGATGACTACACCATTTACGTATTTGTCGGATGTGTATTCGCAGTGCTCTTGGTATGTATAGAAACAAATCCTTCATGAAAATAAAACAAATGACGCTTTGGTTCATTGTGATAGCTTTAGGTGTTTGACATGCTTGTCCCCCTAGTAATAGTCTTGGATCTGCCCCTGAGTAGGTCTACCCCTGCTTTCATGTTCGCCCCTACGGACATGACAGAAACAACATATTTTACATGTGAAGATGAAAGTTCCATTGTGTCTGTTTCGTCGAAAGACGAATTGCTAAATTTAGCTGTTTGGGTACAATATCAGCGGTTAAGAGACTTAAGGAAGATATTCTGTCGAATACGTCTTAAGTTTGAAAAATATTCTTTTTTTTGCAGTTCAACTCGATGATCCTGTTCTTTGTGATGAAGTCCTTCATGGCACTCAAGGCCAACGCGAAGAAAGACGAGTTAGACAAAATCAAGTAAGTCATCAAACACATTTCTACTTGTCATCCTCATGTTCATTGTATCAAAGGCATGGTGTTCTACTGACACGTACAACTTCAGATGTACGCATACTCCGATCTGTTACTCACAACGTCACAATTTGTCGACAGCCATCTCCTACATTGATATACCAACTAATTGGGAATACATTACAGCAGTGGATGCGATATTGGTAAAATACCCTTCCTACCAACACAGTGTTAGTCAGGAAAAGAAAGAAACCAATATGCAACACTGAATAATTTTGCAAAATATAGATGTAGTTACATCTTATAGTCTAATAGGTTCAATGATCAATAGCCGGATTGAAGAACCCCCCCCCCCCCCATTGACTACTATTTTGTATTTAAATGAGGCAACAGTAACTACGTCCCCCCCCCCCCCCATCCCCCCTTTTAGGGATAGCGACCCAAGAAACGGTACACCACTGACTGCTCTGTTTGTGTGTTTAATTAGGGCGATGGCTCGTGCACTGCTGATTCTACTTCCGATCCTTGGTCTGACTTGGTTCTCGGGGGCCGTCACCAGCATCACCACATCTGATGACGTCATCTTCTTTCAGTACCTCTTCACCATCTCGTTCGGTCTTCAGGTTTGTTGCCATTCAATATATTAACTGTTTCAAATCAGTTTTGATCATTGTGCACGTCAACACTGAAACTGAATTCATTATTACATAAGTGGCTATCGCGGAATTCGTGATAGATAGAGGGCAAAGAAGTTCAAACATCTTGGAGGTGGAACAATGACCTCCCAATGAGGTGACCAAAGATACAATGTAGCATCGTGCAAACATTAGGCCTATCCGTGCATATTATGGAAGGGGCTGGGGAGGGGGGCAGAAAGGGCACACGAATTTAAAGCACTCCCGAGATCCTTTAATATTTGTGTCAAAGCTTAATGGCTAAAAGCATTGTCGGTTTTAATAAGAGCCGGCAGTCGTGAACATTGAACATACCGTTCTACTGAAATCTGTATTTCTACAGTACTATAATAACCAATAATCTATTATTAGAGAGCGGGAATGTAATGCAATCCTCTATGAGGTGGTCGATTCTTCCGATATATTAATTAAATTAAAAGCCATGATTCTCAATCAAATGTTGTGAGAAAATGTGAAATCAGTACAGTCGATTGCGCAAGGGTCCAGTATAATAAATATGATACATTTCATGAGACCTTAACTATATCAGATACCAATCTTCTTACTCGGCAAGGGAGGAGGACCTTATGTGAATATCATTGTTTAATAATCGCGGTGCATATACATCATGACAAGAAGCATCGTCACGGTGTCTAGAATGATGAATTGATTGCTTACTGAAAACATTCTTTTCATATTCTTGTCTTATTTCTTCCTCTTCTTTCCTTCATTTTTTTAGGGGGTCTGCATTCTCATTTTTCACTGCCTCCAAGTGCCAGTCGTAAGTTTTTTAATTTTTTATCACGATTATCGTTATCTGATTATAAGTAGTATACACATATTTTTGGTGTCGGTCTGAATCTATCAAGCTCTTAATGAAGTTAAATTGGTTACCAGTAAAGCATATAATGGCATTCGAAATAAGTTTGCTTGTTTACAAAGCATTTAAATGGTCAAGCCACAAAATATTTGTCTTCATTTGTATCTTTTAAATCACATGCATATGCACGTAACTTGCGAAGTACACAAGACAAGCTGCTTTAATGAAGCTACCTCACATTAAAACAAAGTACCTCATTTGCGCTTTCAGTTGCGCTGCTCTCAAGCTCCGAGATAATCTACCACTAGACATAAGAAAAGCCTCATCTGTTGCTGTGGTCAAAGTTTTGTTAAAGACGCCCTTGTGTCGAGGAGCTTTTGAACAGTATTTATTTTAATCGTTTGTCGGTAAAGGCCCGGTCACACAGAGGGGACGCATGCGGGACGCACGGCCGGCGCATGGAAAATTTCCAATTTGGGCCAGTGCGTTGTCGTTCGCTAGGCGTGCGTCATCACTCGTTACTCGTTCGTCGAGCGCGCTGGACCAACGCTGGACCAGCGCTATGCATTCGTCGTCATTCGCTGTGTGCGTCGGAATTTTTTGAGCATGCTCAAAATTGTGAGCGGAGCTCGACGCATGAATGTACACGCCAAAGGCACGCCAGACGTGCGTTGAGCGCGCTAGACCAGCGCCAGACATACGCGGGGCACACGCCCTGTATACGCACAGCGCGCCAGCTACACGCTGTGCATTTTGTGTCAGCTCGCTAGCTTTTCCAAAATCATAGCGACACGGCCTTTTCCGATTTCCAATTCGCTGGCCGTGCGTCGTAGAACGCGGTGCATGCGTGGACCATTCGTCCAGCGCGCTAGCAACACGCTGTGCATTCGTGGAAGTTGTTATCATGTGCGCTCTGGGTACGGTCTGTATGCGTACTGTATGCGCCCTGTATGCGCTCAGCGCGCTAGCAACACGCTATGCATTTGGTGTCAAAAGTTGGGCGCACGACAACGCACTGGCCAAAATTGCAAATTTCCCATGCGCTGGCCGTGCGTTCCCCATGCGTCCTCCCTGTGTGACCGGGCCTTAAAGTAGCACTGTTGGGAGTTTTGTTTCAATCACAGCGCAGTAAAGAATGTTTATATAGTAGCTGCGCTACATAAATTGCTCCAATAATCATTATTATTCTTGAAAATGGAATAAAGGAGGGATTAATGAAACTTGCCTTTTCCACTATTTTGATATGTATTTAACATACCGATATCATAAGCTATATCTTAATTGTAGCGATTGGTTTTAAACATTAGCTAAACACTTTTTCATAAGGAATTTTGATCAACTTGATTGAAGGTAGAGCTGAATTGACTTGATTTTAAACCAAAAATTCTTTTTATTCTTCATGTGTTTTCAGATAAAAGCGACTTTGAAAAATCGATTTCATCGACGAGTTCAAGACAGCTCATGGATGTCGAAATCTGGAGCTCCAAGATCTACAGCTACTTCATCGTTTTGAACACCAGATAAGCATTAGCACGCTTTGCAAAAATCATGGTGTTAAATCTAACACCACATCGGTATCTTTACATTGTAACATCATATAAGAACACCACACACTAAGAAAAAATGGTGCAAGTATGCACCTTTAGGGGTGCCAACCGATGCAACAATAGCAGCACCTTTAGGGGTTAAATCCACCTTTTAGGGGAAATAGTACCCTTTATGGTTTATTCCTGCACCTTTAGTGGTGCAAACCGATGCAACACTAGCAGCACCTCAGTTATGGGTTCAATCCTGCACCCTTTAAGAGGGTGCAAGATTGCACTTTTTAGGAGACATGTTACCCTTAGTGGTTCAATCCTGCTCCATTATGGGTGCAAACCGATGCAATAGCAGCACCTTTAGGGATTCAATCCTACACGCTTTAAAAGGTGCAATCCTGCACCCATCATCGAGGAATACTGGTAAAATTTGCTCGTACACAAATACATATTAAACATGCATGATGTTTCTTGGTTAGTAATCATATAATCAATATAATCAATGTAATTAATATCTATTGCTAAAACGTGAATTTAATTGTAACATGATTAGACAAAATAATCTATTGGTTAATGATTGCCAAAGGAAAATACAAATCACAAAATTTATGTGCATTGTCATAATTTGCTTAACAAATCATGATAAATGTATTTTTATGTGAACACGTGGAAAGTAATCATGAATATGCATGCAATTTGCAAATTTTTATTTTGCACCCTTTTTTGGTCGATAGGATTCATTTTTGTGGGAAGGGTGCAAAATCTTATATTGCACCCTTTTTGAACCCCTTTTCCTTCAAGAGGGTTCATTTTTATGTAAAGGGTGCAACCTCTTATTTTGCACCCTTTTTTCTTAGAGTGCAGTATCGAATTAAACTCATGTCATTGTTAAGGTGTCGTTGTCTAGCGGATACACCACCGAACTGTGAATCGCATGGTTCCCGGTTCCCAAATCTTGTGTCGGCAATTAATGATTTACTGAAAGCAAGAGGAAATTACTGGAATGAAATCAATGTTTACTTGCCTTATAGATTCACCTTGAAAAAACACGCAAAATCTGCAATCATTGTTACATAATTATACTGCTTGAATGGACTTGCCTTTGTACATAGATATGTATAGATATGATAGATATGTCATAAGAAACGGTACATATCGCATAAATACATGTAGAGATTATACAAATTATACTATTCCTAAAGTCACAGATTACTTAAATACCAAGCATTGCGTTGTCAAGATATTGACTTTGATGAAAAACATTTATTTTCTGGTTCTACAATGCAGTTGGTCTATGACAAGAAATATTATTAAGTTTCCTCAACTAATACTGAAAAGTAAGATGGAATAAGGTAATAGGTCGGGGGAGTCTGCTCGCCCGTAAGTTAATTACGCATGATACATTGTGAGACCTTTCCTTAAAGATCACTACTTGACAACGCTTTAGTGTTGACGATTTCTATATTATAACCTTCTTTTTGTTATATGTCTGGGCACAATTTAATATACTTTAAAGACATTCGATGTCGCTCATGTTGTTACCAAATGCCTTTTAGGGCAGTGTATTTTACCGACACCGCTACCACTGCTGTAATAGATTTTCAATCGCGCAATCTTTCGGTGAAGGCATACATAAAGCGATTTCCGGTCCCTACACTGAAGCATCATCAATTTGTGATGCACTATGGGACATGGCTGTCGACACATCGGGACACTGTGAGCAGCAGATGGCGATGTACATAAATCTGAAGAAGTGACAGTAAAATACCCTGCCTTTAACATCACATATTTCCGCCCTTTTTTCTTACACATGACTGAATTTTGTCTGTATATACAACATTGCTCGTGGAATAACGTACCATCAGTTTTAAGACTTTGTTTTGATATTCCATAGCAGAAAATAAAATAAATGTACAGCATTGCAAATCTATAAATATTTACAATATTTTAGAAATAATAGATCTATATGACTTTAGCCGCAGTACTAGTGTTTGGGTAAAATGTCATTACAGCCAAAAAAAATACAGTGTCACGATTTGCCTTACGTGTTCAAAATAAGTCTAATTTTATGAAAAGGACAATATGTAATACAAAAAATATAATGTAATTATTTTGAATAATCATCTGATAATGAACTATGTACTACTATATATATTTTTCAAAAAACTATTGTATAGTTTATGCCATATTCTATTTTCAAAAACAGTATAGAGCAGTTTTATTATTAAATGCATTATGATGGAATATTGTGCATAATTTTAATTGGTTTATTTACATTTCTCTCATATCAGATGTCTATTTACTGTACATTATTATATTTGAATTCGATGGCAGAATGGCCATCCTTTCAGTTTTTTGTGCAATATTGTATTATAAACTATGCAGACATAAAGAGCTTTCTATAAAAAAAATATATATATATAGTAATAGCTTTGCCGTGTTGCGTTTGCCATTAATTTAACATAAGTGACCCGTTTATAAATATCAATAAGAAAAATAAAAAGAACGGAAAGATGCTTGGAAAATTCATAATTATGCTTATTTCACTATACAATGATAGAACAGCAGTTCTTTACGTAATAATTCATGGGTAATTTGTTTTAACTCTTTCTTGT